CATTTTCTGTGTGAGCTTAAGGAATGATACCGACAGTGTAGTCATATTTTTCAGAACTTCATTATGCCAAAACAGAGGGTAACACGTTTATGTTAAGTGCGGAATTCAGTGTTCATTTTCGGGACTCAATTAACCGATGATGGCGCAATCATTGTTACATAGTCAGAATTACATGTCGTTGCACCCAATGTACTCGAACCTGCCTTCAAGTATACTTCTCATAGGCAATCTTTATTTTTTGATAATCACCTCACTACCCAGCGTCATTTTATATAACAGTTGTTTTACCTGTTTATACCTATATTCAGACATGTTATCATCGCCGGTTTGGTAGCACCTGAATCTGTTCACCATATTTTGGGGTCGCCTGAGACGTGATATCCCCGGTTAGTCAAAATCAGGTAGCAAGAATCCCAAAAAAAACAAGCAGTCGAACTTTAAGTGGCAGCCATGATGTCACACATTCAATATTAGTCCAATGGCCAGAGTGTATGGGTGTGTGCGCGCGCGCGTGTGTGTGCGTCCATGCGTCATCAATTTCTTCTCAATTGCCATGAATATCGTTGTTTGGGGGATTGACAAATCTAGCACTGCAGTCTCCTATGATGTATGGAAATGTGAAACACTGAGATTTATTGCTATTTGTATAGCAGTATATTGTGAGAGGAATCTAGAAACATAATGATCAAATAAGAGCGTATGTTGCTAATTACCACATGTGCCACCTTTCTGTGACTAAACTGATATAATCAGGTAAATATATACAAAGACAAAATGCTAGACAAATATTTAGAAACTACAGGGAATAGTGTAATACATGCAATCACATAATTAAACGAAATGACTTTATACTTGGAAGAGGACTATACAAGGGCAAAGTGACAGCTGACATAAGTTCGCATTAATGAACATCTTTCAAAAGTACGCTTTACTTTTTTGCAAAAGCTATATAAATACAAAATAATTACCAACCATTATGTTACTGAATGAGTTGTTATAGTCATGGTATCTTTACCACATATAGTTTTTGGGGAATCATTGACGAAGATTCTGGCAGTTGTTGTTACACCTAAGGGGAGAATAGTATCATTCCCGAGGGTTTCAGTAAATTAATTCAGCCTTACCAAGTAACAAACATACAGGGTTTGAGATATGTTGAGACAAACGCATAAATTATTCTTAAAGTCAGAACCTGATTTAGGTAGATACTTGTACAACATAAAGAAAACCTTGGAAAAAACAATTAAGCAGCCTTGTCAAAGTATTGCATTCATATGTCTTGGTTTGAGCTGTGATATACAAGATACAAGAATTCTATGGAATTAAGTAATTTTGATGTCTAAGCTGGTAGAAGTTTATCGTCAAATCAATAACCCATTGATATATGTCGAAATGGCAGTAACATTAGATGAGATTAGATGACAATTATTGGCAGCTTTGTCTTATTTAGATTTTGTAATTAGCTATATCCCTGGAATTAACAATATTGATGCACACATTATCATGTTAACCAAAAAGTGACAAACTCTTTTCAGAAAGAGATAAACGAGAGATAAAACAACTTGTGTTGTCCAAATTGCTATTAGTGTAGTGAAACACACAAGATCATAAAAATCAATAGAACTATATATTTTTTTTATTTAAATTAAGTATTATATAATTTTGCAAAAAGAAAAAGTAGAAATGGATCAATTTTTAAGAAGTCACGAATAGAGGTATGATGCGATTATGTTAAGGAAATTTAGTCATAAAGGCCTTAATGAGTTTTTTAAATTGTTGTTTTTTAAATTGTTGTGCTTTAATTTCACTCTGGCTTATATAGTAAAAAGCTTCCGTCTTAATATCAATAATGACCATGTCACGAGCACGACCATTGTTTTCCATCATACTCACACATATTGTGAGATCATGAACGTTAACTTGTTAATGCCATCCCACTAGTCAATGTATAACTTGTTCAAGTCAACTAACATTTGTACAACAGGATCTCGAAATGTCACTTCAAGTCAACGGTGAGGGGAAGGGGTAGTCATATACGCAACCAGTTGAAAAGAAAACCCAAACAATCGGTGTTGTAGGCATTCTTTGGATTAACAAAAATTGCGTATGACCTACATTTTTATAGAATGGCAGAAAATAGTCGAATTAGCATATACCTTTTTGGCATGACCTTTAGTGATGTTGGCTGCATAATAATATAATCAACACCAGTGTTCCCTGACCTGCAGTTAAACTGTATAATCAACAATTATGTACACAGTCCTCGGTGATTATTATACTGAATACTCTAAAATATTATAATTATTTTGGATAACAATGAATTATTACCTATTACTATTTTTAAAAGCATACTTTATATTATCTTATACTTTAAGTAATTATCAAGATTCGGCAGATCTCCTAATAAAAGTATACCTAAATTGACAATGTTTTGTTTTCTGAGAGGCACATATGCATCTACGAATTTAATGTATATTTTTGTTTCCTCGTAATTTATTGTGACGAGGTGTTCTCTGCGAGACCTCACAGGGATACCAAAATCGGGCACGGCACTGATAGTGACATTCTATTTGCTTGACATTTGTGTGAGCACGTAAGTATCAACATGAATTTAGACTTACCCGATTTAGAGTAGGTACAAATCCACACATCGTCCGGTCTCACTTCAAAGCTCTGCATTGCTTCCAAACTTGTCCGTGGAACAAACCACGGAAACTTAACACCATCGTACACGTAATTGTCTGTCCTCCGGGAACCGTCTTCATTGAAAGAATTCATACTTACCGTTAAAATATACGTTGGCGCCTTATATAAATATAGTTTGGGACTGTGAGGGCGCTGTGAAGTTTCCGGACTACTCATGTATTACGCTTTGTAAATATATATTTAAGGGAATTTGTTATATTGTGTGTGAAAATTTCCGCAGTAACAGGAGAACAGTATTCAACGTAAAGCCCCTTTCACAATTGGTGCCAAACAGACTACAACGGCTTGCGACTCGAAATTGTTCCCGTTGTACGACTCGTTGTAGCCGTTGTACCACTTATTGTACGATC